CCGAAGTTCAAGCTCTTCCTCCTTTCTCTAGTCCAGGATGCTGTATAAACTTAATCACAAATTCTTGGAGCCTCATCTCTGTGGACTCCCAAAGGTGCACCCAGTCAAGAGACAGAGGGAAATGAGTGCTCACTGTTGCCCAGTTCCTTTCCTCCATTTATATAGAAAGAGATAGGCCCCACCCAGCGTTAAAATGGCTCTTATGGCTGGATGTCGTGGCAGATGTTTTTAATCCCAGCACTCGGGAGGCAGAGGCAGGCGGATCTCTGAGTTCGAGGCCAGCCTGGTCTAAAAGTGACCAGTTCGGCTAAGGCTACATAGTGAGACCTTGTCTTGAAGAAACTGAAAAGCTGAGTCTTGTGGTAGTTGGAGTGAGAATGTCCACAGTAGGCTCGGATGTTTGAATACTTGGCCTCCAGTTGGTCGTGGTGTCTGGGTAGGTTTAGGAGGTCTGACCTGGCTGGAGGAATAATATGTCACTGGGGGAGGGCCTTGAGGTTTTAGGGGTCATGTATCATTCTCTGCTTCCGACTTACAGTTCAAGATGTGAGTTCTCAGCTGTTCCTACTGCCAAGATGGACTCTTAGTCCTCTGGACAGACTCAAACAAACTCTTAAATTGTCTTGGTCACAACAAAAATAATCCAGATAACCTCCTGTGGCATGACCAGAGGCCCACCTCCAAGGTGACTGTAGATTCTATCTGGTGGACAATTACCACTAGCCATCACGGGGATATAGGCCTGTTTCCCCAGCACTTGGGAGGAAGAAGGAGGGAGAGCAGAAGCTCAAGGCCAGCCTGGTCTACAGGAGATCCTGTCTCAACCTACTCTTCCACCCCAAATGAACACCAATACAGAAGGAATGGAAGAAAAACACCGTTTTGCAGCCTTCAGCGTTACAGTTCAGGCGAAGGTCATCAATGGGCGTGGATGGAAGGAATGCAGTGCAGGGCTGAGGTTCTCAACTGTCCTCACGCTGTGACCCTTCAATACCGCTCCTCACGTTGTGGTGACCCGGCCAATAAAATATCTTCATTGCTACATCATAACTATAATTTTGCTACTGTTATGAACCGTAATGTGAATATGTGTTTCCTGGTGGTAACGGTCGTTCAGCCCCCAAAGGGGTCAAGACTCACAGTTGAGATCCGCTGGTCTAGAGAACTGTGTTACAGACATTTTCCCTGTTGCCATGGAGACATCACACGGTCATGATATTAACTACTAACCAAATGCCTCATAGAGACCCCTGATATCTGCTTTCCAGAGTGATGGAATCAGAAGCACACATTACTAAAAAGGCAGAAACAAAAATAGCCAGGCCCCGATCACTAATGGACTGATCCAGTATACATAAAAGATAAGACGGCTCTTCTCAGATTATTTATTTGCTCAGAGAGATGCTAACAAACGCGGTATGTGGGCTGGGTGGGACCGCATCTGATGGCTAAAGGCAACAACTTAAGATTTTCGATGAAGGGAAATCTGGAAAAAATGTAGTATCAACCGCTAATTTGGTAACTGTTATGTAGCAGAATGCCACTACTATGAGATGGATGCATATCAGAGAATTTAAGAAAAAGTTGTTGTTTTTTCCCTCTAGTCAAGGTCTCACTATGTTCCCCAGGCTGGCCTAGAAGCAATCTTTCTGCTCAGCGTCCCAAATGCTGGGATCACAGGCACGTGCCACCATGCCTGGCTAAGATATTCATCCTCTTCCTCCCTCTCAGTTCACTCTTCCCATTTCCGTCCCCTTTCGTGTGTCAGGCTTTCATAGAGCTGCCCTGCCCGCGCAGTCTGGAGCTCTGGGGCTCAAGCCATCCTCACGCCCCCAACTCCTGAGCGGCCCAGACTATAGGAACAAGCTGCCCAGCCTGGCTTGTAGTTAAAGTAGCTGGGAGACGTGTGTGTGTCCGCAAAGAAGCAAATGTGGCCAAGCATGAGCAGGTGAGTGCAGGCTGTTCTTGGAACTTGTCATAGGTCTGGCAGTTGGAGGCTAAGATAGTGAGCGAGGTTCAGAGCCGGGGGAGTCGCTGAGTGGGAGATGTCCCATGGGAACAGCCTGATGTCTTCCACACTGGGATCCAGGCTTTGAGATATGGCTGCCTGAGAATGTTTCTGCCACTTCCTCCTGAGCCTAGAATCTGCTGCTGTTACGTGGCAAGAGCTACTTCTATAGCCAGAGTGCGTTGAGTGTAGGCGGTAAGAACCAGTAGGGCTTTTAGGGGTCGAGGACAGTGTATGGTTTTTGGACGAAATCAAGTCTGCTGTAGGTTCTGCCGTGTCCTAGCTGTGTAGCCCGTGGCCAGTTCCCAGGGAAGACTGCGATCATGAAAACTGGAACAGGAATAATAAGGGTTACAGCTGACTCAGCATTTCCAACTGCTAATGAGTCAACATGCTCATCTCTACAAATCTCATAGGCGAATCAGACTCTCTCTTTCCTTCTCTCAGGACAGGGTTTCTCTATGTAGCCCCAGCCGTCCTGGAACTCAAGAGATCCACCTGCTTCTGCCTTCCGAATGCTGGGATTAAGGAGTAGGCCACCTTGGCCCGGAGAAACAGATGCTCTTGGTGCTCTGCTTTATAGACCACGGCAGGCCATCTCCTTCCTCTGTAACTTGGCTTCTGCAATCCCCTATGCCAGGAATTCAAAGAGAAAAATCCCACTTCCCTGCCCGGCCTCGCATATGGAATTCCTGTCTTCCTCTTCTTTGGCTCCTAGCACCTTCCCTCCGTGCATTATTAGCACAGCTAACCTAAGTAGATGGGTGCCTGGCCTCTCTGTAGGCTGGGAAGCCCCTCTCTACAGCCAGAAACAGGCTGGGCAGGGACTGGAAGCAGAGTACACTTTTTTTTCTTACTTTGTTTAGTTTGAACCATTTCCACCTTCCCTGACAGACTTATTTACCAACAGGAATATTTATTTCCCTGTCTTGGAGACAAATATTTTTGAAACACTTCATTTTGAAATACTTGAATTTTCTTTTTGGAATCAAAGTCCTGGGACAAGGTCTCTCTGACTGCTGGGCTGTCAGGCAATGAAGACTGCCATTGTGGAGGGGAGTGGGCAGGGCACTGGGCACATTTCAAAGAAGACAGCGTTCCAAGTGTCTACCGGTCAACTAGCAGCTTCCCCACCTAACCCGGTTAGGTCACCAGCTTATGGACTTTGGCTGAGAGTCGGGCAGACTTCAGCTTCACCCTGCACACCCAACAGCTGTGTCCAACCTGTAAAAGAGGCCATAGGACCAACTTAGCAAGAGAGGACAGGTACCTTCTAGACTCAGTTCACACAAGGGACCCTGGACTTTGTGACCATCAGCGCAGCGGGGGAGGTGGGAGTAGGCTGGAAGAAGAAAGCACCCAGCCAGATGCGATTTCCCTGCTTGTACAGAAATGCTTTGTTAAAGATGGTGCAGACTCCCAACAACCATGCAGAACTTTCCTTAGCCATATTAGCTCGCTCTCCTGCTTTGTAACCACCTCCTTTCTCTTCCTGTGGTCTTTCCACTCCTCGCATCAGTGATAATGAGAAACAAAGGGCTTTCAAACCCCTCCAGCCTGAAGACACCATAGGAGGGTTGCCTTCTAGCTCGGCGCGTGGAGGAGCTGAGGGAACTCGTCCCGAAGCACAACTTTGGCAGGGTAGATCAGAAGGTTTATTTCTTCCCTACACTACCACAGACCCAACCTGTTTCCCCGGCCTGCAGAAAAAGGCTGGGTTGTTGAAGGCGTTTGCGGCGAGTAACTTATCACCCGTGTTCCTCAAATGGAAACGGATGAGGCGAAGCCTTTGCGGGATGCGAGAGTCGACTGAGTTTTGTGTGTGACGCACTAAGCACCGAGGATGGGCTCTTTATTTCTTAGTCACATGGAAAGAACGGTGCTGTGTCCATCCACGGGTCCACAGTTCAACCACACGCCCTGGGGTGGCCAGAGCTGGGAGGGGGTCCCTGTCATCCCTGTGGTTCGCCCTGAGCCCCTTCACCTGACCCAGCACCCTACTCCTGGGCGCTGCAACCCGACCCTTCGACCCTTCGGGACTCAGACAGACAAGACGCCCCTGCTCATCTGCAGACCCCGCCCCTCTCCCCACCCATCCAAGGCTCCTCCCACAGAGCGCCCTTCCCCAGCCCCGTACCCCCACCCCCAGCTCCGTCCACCCCATCACCACCAAACGCGCCCCTCCCCCGCGGCCAAGGGCGGGGCCACCCCACTTCACTGATGAGACTATCGAGGCGGCAACAGATGACATTTCACGGCGGGACAGGTGCCCTGCGGGCCCCACTACGCGTTTGCTGGGTCCCGAGCGTCCCCTCACCCCCGGCGCACCGCACCCACCTCCAGCCCTCGCTCCGCAGCCTCCCCTCCAGCCAGCGCAGCTTCGCCAGAGGGCGGGCCGGGCGGGGGCAGGGGCGGGGCATCCCGGGCCGCGCGCTGGCCGCCGGGACTTGTAGTCCCCCTGATGGAGCCTCGCGACGCCGCGAGCCCCCGCCCGGACTCCACCTCCCAGGAGGCAACGCAGGGAGCCGGCTCGCGACTGGCCCGCCCCACCCACCCTCGGGCCTGCTGCCCTTAAAGGGGACGCGGCCCGAGTGGCCGCCCGCGGGGGTAGCCCCCGCTCTGGCTCCGCCCCGTTTCCCGCACCTCGCCCCTCCCCCCTCCGCTCCGTCCCGCAGCCCAGCCACCGCGCAGAAGAGTTTCACTGTCCGGGTCCATCTGGGGTTATGCGGAGCGGGGTGGGTGGAGTTGGACATCACGGTGGCAGCAGCATCCCTGAGGTCTGGGACCCCCCTGGAGGGGAGCGGAGGACCCGCCCTGACCTCGCCTGGCCCAGCCTAGTCCAGCCTGGCCCGAGCGCCCCGCCCAGGAGTGGGTTCTGAGGTAAGGCCTGCTGAAGTCCAGGAGGTAAGGGGGCCCTGGGTGTGAGTGCTGGTGGCAGGGATGGGGGGCAGACAGTGTCTGCACCCTGATGTTTCCAGGGCCCCATACTTACCTACAGGGTTCTGAGAGCAGGAGAATGGGAGGTGGGAGGTCTAGGTTCTTCTGGGCCTTGCTGTGTGACCTTGGGCTAGTACTGCCCCTCTCTGAGCCCTAACCATCTTCATCTACTGAGTATAGAGGTGGGCCATCTCCTGCCCCCTTCAGTACTGAGAGCACAAACGCCTAGTACCACGAAGCCTGGCAATCTTTTTGCGGAGAAACCCCAGTCCCAGTGCGGGCTGTGCAGGGGTGCGATGGCAGAAGGAAGGGAGAGGAGGGGACCCCAGCGAGAGTACAAACCAAGGATCGGGAGAGGCTGCCTGGTCGTCTTAGCTTCACGGAATCTGGATCCCTTGACAACCCTTGCAGATTGGACAACTGAAGCGTAAACTCGTGTCCCCTCCTCCCAGAAAGGCTGGGTTAGTCAGGGGTAGTTCTGGAGGCAGGGGTTGAGTGTGGCCAGTCCTGGAGGTGGAACCATCTCCTGTCATCTTCCGTCTTCTCTCTCATCCCTCTTCAGCAATAGGGCACTTGCTTGTCCCCAGCAAAACCCTCAGGTCTGCCTTGGTCAGGCACTAAGTTAAAAAGCGGACATTCTGCAGCTCAGAGACCCCAGGGTGCCCCCAGGAAGCCCTGGCACCCATGGAAGGAAGTCAGGGTGTGAGGTGTGAATGTGAGGGGCCGAGGGAAGGTGAATCCCCCCCCCATCCCTAGCACAGGGCAGGGACCCGCTGACCCTCCCTCCTCCTTTGGAGGCCATCTGGGAACATCTGCCCTAGGGGCTAACCAGGAACAGGGTTTTTAATTCTACTTCTCTGCCTTGCTTGTGTGGACCATTTCTAGAGTGGCTAGGGGCTCTTTCAGTCTTGTCTAGTGGCCTCAAGGGTTGTGGACCAGGCCCAGGCAGGGGAGGGGGCAGGAACTGCACTCAAGGTTAAGCCTGTCTCTGGAAGCTACTTTCCTGGTCACATCCTTGGGTTTTATCTCGCGTTGCTGTCGCGAGTCTCTCGCCAATAGCTAGGCACACCTTCACGGCCACCTCTGTCCATCCTGGGCGCCGTGTACAGAACAGGATTGGATCTACTTCCTACAGCATCAGGCCCTAGCCAGGTGGGTGAGAGAGCGTGCCCAGAGGAGTCAGACTGCAGAGAGTGAAGAAGCCAAGACGGCCTTGGAGCCAGACCTCTGAGACTCGCTCTGTGGAGGGACAGGGAATGGCCTGCAGACTGGCCATTGCGGGATGAGTCAGAACCAGCCAGGAGAGAAGAGGCAAGCCCTTTCCAATAGAGAGGACACCAGCAAAACAACAAAACACAAACCCTTCTCAAATTCCCATCCATGCCTTCTATCAGTGTTGTGTCTCCCAGATAGCCTCAGCGCCTGGCTTTCGAGTGTGGGTTTTGTCAGAAGGGGCAGGTTGCCTTGAGGTTCTGCATAGCCAGGCAAGAAGGAACTTTTCAGAAATGAGGTTCATCTGATGGCATTGCTGGGAGAGTTGGGCCCAGAGAGAGGCTGAGGAGGTGATGAAGGCTGAGCTGATCACTAGGGGTCTTGGTCTCTGGTCTCTTTCTCCCTCTCCACAGCCCCCCAGGTGGTGATAGAGAGGAGCCAGGTCCGCCCAAGAGGAAGCAGGGAACTGTCAGCACACAGCCGAAAGGCCAGGGGTTATCCATGAAAAGGCCAGGGCCTCTGGGAGGGGTGTTGCTTCTCCCAGGCGGCCTGGGACATACGGACAGAATGTGCCTGGGCACTCAGGTTGGAAGGCTGGCAGGGTGAGGATACAGCTCAGGGCCTGTGCAAGGGCATCAGCCCTGGCTGGAAAAGGCCAAGGACTAAGTGGCCATGCATCTTCCATTGGGTCTCAGAGGCTGAGAGGTGAGGGAGTTGTTTCCTCCATAACCAAGACCACCATGGCGGCTGTGTCTGGCTAAATTAAAAACTGCGACCCTCCAGGACTTGTGCCTTTAGTGGAGGATGGATCAGATGAGGAGTGAGGTTTAGAAAACTCCTGTCCTGGTCCAGGCAAGGGAAACAGAGGAACTGATGTCGGGGGAGCGTGGAAACAGATGAACAGATGAACTGAGGGAATTCCTAGAGGCAGCTGGCAGTGCATGTTCCCTCCACGACAGAGGACCAATGAGAGACTCATGACTACCCAGGCCACCATCTTTTCTTTTCTTCTTTTTTACACTGACCCAACCCTGGGAGTGGCAGATGCAGAACAGCTCCCATTTTCCAGAGAGAAAGCTGAGGTGCTAGTTCTGAGGGGAAGCCTCTGCCCCGTCCCTGATGCAGGCTCTAGCGAGGGAGGAAGGTCTGCTGCACTTGGTGTGGGACTGGCTGCACTCAGAGCTTGTGTGGACACGCCATCCCTGCTGGGTAACCCAGCCTGCACCTCCGAGAGAGGTGGCCTACAGCTCTTTCCGGGGGCGGGGGGGGGGGGGGGAACGCCAGCTGATTCTGTGTCCTGGAAGCGTGTCTCCCTCTGCTCCCTACGCCTGCCCTCCTTCTCTGGTCTGCGACCAGGAGTCAGGTGAAGTCAAAACCTCGGAAGCTCTTTTGCATGAATGCATCCAGGATATCGCGGAGTGGGTTTACTGGTAACCATGGTGACAGCTGACCCAACTGCTTGCGTAGGAGTTGGAGCAGGTAGCAGGGGTGGTGCTTTGTGGAGAGGCCAAAGACTGAGGAAGGCTGGCTCCGGTGATTGGAACTTCGGGTGGTACTGGAGGACGGGGCTTCCAGCTGCCAAGTGCGGCCCACCTGAGGGAGTGTCAGGTAAACTGGCAGGGAATTGTGGGTGTTTGATTATTCGGTTTCTGTGGTTTAATCTAAGGCCATTTATCCCCATTTTTAAAATGAGAAAAGCAGTATATATATATATATATATATATATATATATTCCTTATTCAAGGTCACACAGTGCAGGTCTCCATTTCTACTTTGATTTTTTTTTTAAAAAATCGTTTTCTAGAACCTTCCCTGGCTCCAGAATTCCATTTGTGCCTGCCCTTTGCCCTCACCCTCTATACATGATGCCAGAGTCTCATTGATTAAGGTTCCTTCTCAGCAGTGTGCGTGCTGGGCTTTCTTGGCAGCCAGGGTTAAGAAGCACGACCTACCCACTAGTCTACAAGGCCTAGGGGGTTGATGACAGCAATTGCCTTGTTAGGGGGCCCAGGGTGACGTGGTGGGGGTGGGGGGGTGCCCTCCTGCTTTCTGTTAATTCTTCTTGTGGTGCTGGGGATCCAACCCTGGCATCCCCAGCCTCCAGGCTGGATCCCGCTTTGCACCGCCTGTTGCTCTCTCTAATGGCATCTGCCTCCACTGCTGTGCTCCGCCTCCTTAAGGACCCGGATTTTGCTTCCAGAGCAGCGGGAATTGACGCCTCTCGAGAATTTCCTCACGTCCAGCACCACGCTAAGGGCGTCTTGGTTCCTTTTCATAGCCCAGAGAGTGAGAGGTTCAAGGGGCTGGGTAATCTTTCCGGTAACCAGAATGCATGCCAGATAGGCCTCTCTCAGTAAACATGGAGTCTCACTTACCATCCTCCCGTTGCCTAACTGAGGAGGCCCTGGACATTTGACTGCTTTTTCTAAGGTGAAATCATTATTTAAAAGAGCAATGAGAGCCGGCACTGGTGACTCACACCTGTAATCCATCACAGCCCTGAAGAGGCTGGGGGGAGAACACCACGAGACTCAGGTCAGCCTCAGCTGCAAAGTAAAACCCCATCTAGAAGCAAAACATACAAACAAAATGAAAACAGATAAGCAAACCCCAAGAAGCAGGCGTGGTAATTCATGCTTGCGATTTGAGCAACTGAGAGGTGGGAGTGCTTGCCTAGGGTGTGTGAGGTCCTAGGTTCAATCCCAGCATTATCAAACAAATGGAACATGCTAAGAGCACTTGGGCTAAAGGCCTTTTGATGCTCAGGCGGCGAGGCTAGCATTTGGGGGCCACTGATCTGGGCTACAGTGTACCCTACAGCCATGGAACTCCAAAGATTCTAACTTGGTGTGGCAGATGCCAGCCACTGAGACATAAGCTTGGTCCCTGTCCCAGGGAGCTTACACCCCGAGACAGACTTAAAAAAGGGGCCCCTGGAGAGAGACATGCAGTAATTAATGGTGGGGGCAGTTCAGAGGCAGGACACAGAAGTACGCATCTCCACAGAGCCTAGTGTGTAGTTGGTTCCAGAACAGCTCAGGTTCTGAGTCAAGTGTTCTGACCCCTTGTCCAGAAAATGTCCGGCTGTCCTCACTCAGCTGCAGTGGGAAGCTTCGGTGGTTTTCATGGACTCAGCAAATGAGGCAGCTACTGTGGGTTTTGCCTAGGATAGGATTATGCAGAGAAAGGGCCCTGTCTTCTCTTAGGTGCCAGCTAGATAAGGGTGGGCCAGCGGTACCTGTGAATATCAGCCTGAGACTAGGGAGCCAGACGGCTCAGTGTGCAGGGCGTTTATACCGCAGGGCAGTGAGGCCCTGACTTACCCAACGCAAGCCTGCCATGTGCTAAGCCACCTGCTAGGTGCTGGGAGGCAGATACACAAACCTTGACTTCACTGGTGGGGAGGCGGACACCTGCCAGGGGCTGTAGAGGAGCTGGGCAGGGTGTTCTGAGGTCTGAAGCAAGGAGGGAGGTCTGGTGAGGCTGCTCGGAGAGCCCGCTAAGTGTCTTGGTTACTTTTCTATCGCTGTGATAAACGCCACAACCAAGGCAACTTGTAAAAGAAAGTGTTTAATTTGGACTTGATGGTTTTAGAGGGTTCGAGTTCACGATGTGTGAGCAAAGGTGTGGTAGCAGGAGCAGCTGAGAGCTCACATCTTGTTTGGTAAGCAGGAGGCAGAGAAAGCTAACTTCTGAACCCTAAAAGTCAGTATTATGGCCCCACTTCTCAAATAGGCCTTTCCATGGGAACCAGGTATCCCACCGCGAGCCTGTTGGGGGTCCGTTCTCATTCAAAGCACCCCATCAAGCGAGGAGAGGAGGGGGCGAATGCATGTGACCAGAACACGGTGGGCAAAGGGTAGGGGCTGAGGCTGGAGACGCAGGTAGGGCCCTGGGGTGAAGGGCTGTGGAGCCAGGCTGGGTGGGAGGGCCAGTGAAGGCCTTTGGGATGATAGGCTTCACCCGTGGCAGCTGGAGAGGGAACAGGCTTAGGCTAGAGTTTTC